TGTTTACTTTATTTATTACATCTTACTCACTTCATTTAATATATTATTCTATCCATTTTCAAAAAGCATATTTTCATAAACTTACATCTTTTTCCAACTATCTTAAAAAACTAGTATTTTGACCCGTGCCATGCACGGGGCCGAACAAAATTTTTTTCAATTGTTTTTTTCATGTATTACTTTTTGTGGATTAAATAAAATAAATTTCTTACATGATTTTTAATACTATATATACATCAACATCAAAATAGAATAAATAATATTTGAAGAATTAAAAGTATATACAAAACAAAGACTTATTAAAATCCAAATTTTTGAAACACTTCAGAGTATACAACATTTTTGGTATGATTGCAAGAGTTTCTATTGTCATCTAAAATAAACATTTTTAATTATGTATTTTTCTTCACTCGTGAAGGAACAACATAAAATTAATCATAAGTGAATGCTGACTTAGTTAAAATAATCTAACAAAAGATAATGTTTCACCATAACTTTTGTTAATAGTCATAGCAAAACATAAAACTATTGGGAATTGTCTTTTTTGAAACTTTAGGGGGTAGCCTTGGATCATGTGGTACCAAATTTATTCGAGGTATGTAAATCTTTTTCCCGTCTCGATTTCTCGAAACCACGATTGCACGTTTAACATTTTTTCGTACCTCTTCAACAATTGATCTTGTACCATTATACAATCCAAATAACATAATCAATACACTTTTTTCAAAACTATTTTTTGAATTGGTTTGGGATCCCCAAACATCTGGATAGTTGATTTCATTCAAAAATTCAAATGTTATCCAATAAGCATCAACCCCTACATTGGCATCTGCTTGCCATTAAGAATCATAACTCAATTATTCCTTTTTCATCATTGAGAATGAGGAATAAGACAAACTCATTTATCATTTCAACAACTTCGAGAGTGGGTGCTAATGGTGCCTAATCTTAAAAAGGAATATTTTTTCATATTCTCCAATAACTTCAGATAAGTGAATTCCAGTACTATATACTCTTGGGAGGATAACTTATGTCAAGAATCAAGAATCCAGTCAGAATTTTAACGTCAGCAATTCCACCAATCACTTGACCAAGCTTTCCATCTCCAATTTTGATTATCTAATCAGAAAAAGCTTGTGTATCCCTATCTAGGTAAGAGGACATAGAAGAATGCAATATCTTATTCCTGCTCAACGTAAAAACTTTACAATACAACCTCTATTTTGGGGAAATCACTATAGCACCTATAGTTTTCTCTCTCGAAGCTTTGGTAAAATTGGAAGGAAGTGGCAAAAATCACTTTCGAGTACTAATATTTTTCCTCTGAATGGTTCATTTCTAGAGTTATTATTGTAGAACCTCAATATCTCTCTCATTGTATGATCCAATACCTCAAAAACAAATCTATTCATCACACATGCTTCATCTCATATGATTCCACTTGCTTGTTAGATTAATTCTGCTTTCGGACCCCCCTTGTTTGATAGCACACATTGAGCACTCAGTTAAAGCCAGAGAGATTGAGAATCTCGAGTGTGCTGTCCTTCCACCATGCAAAAACAATGCTGCAATGTCACTGGATGCAACATTCAAAACAACCTTACATACCATTCGTTCTTGAAAAGTAGACATTGGTTTCTATATAAATGTTTTCCCAAGTCTCCCGTAACCATATATAAAAAAGAAACCTCCTCTTTTAGATATTAGATTTCGATTATCACATCAGATATCTTTCTTTTGATCTTCATTCATCGTAGATAAA